CTTATTCCTCCTTACCTCTGCCTCCTGGTTTCTTTGGCTTCCTTCAAAACAGAGAAAAATCTCCCCTTCGTAAGAAGTCTTTCCTCTCCACCCTTAAAGGTAGTGCCTTCCCTTGACTGGGTATCTCCAAGTCATCCTCTCTCTATCTTGTTTGTACATAGTTGTTGGCATGTTGTCTCCCCTAGTAGACTGTGGACTCCTTGAGGGCAGGAGTTGTTTTTCCCCTTTCTTAGCATCTCCAGTGCTTAGCACAGTGCCTCACACATAGCAGGTATTTAATACATTCTCATTGATTGTTTGATACAAGGTAGTGTGGTTGGCCTTGGCAAGAAGAAGGATCATACCATCCTCAGAGATTGGATCAAAGGAGAGGAGGAGGACATGGGATGATGCTTGGCAGAACTGAAGTGTGGAATTGGGAAGAAAAGGGAGCTTGTGACCCCTCCCTTTTTTTCCCAGTGAATTGTGAGTCAAGGTCCTCTGCTGAAATGGAGTGGGAAGGTAAATACTATAATGAGAAGGTAATGGAGAAATTATCTAGTCTGATACCTTCATTCATAGATGAAGAAACTTAGATATAAAGAAGTAAAGGAACTCCCAGAAAATCACAGACAAAGTTTGTGGTTGAGATTTAGGCTCTTGCATTTCTAATCTGAAACTCTTTCCCTTTGCTTTGCTTATCTCCTCAACTAGTTGATTCAGTCAAACTGGCCTTCTCTTTGTTCCTCCCTTCATCTCCCATCTCAGTACCTTTGAATTGGCTTCCTCTCATGCCTGGAATATTCTCTTTCCTGACTGATGCATTATAGAATTGCTGATTTCTTTTTTTTTTTAATTATTTGTTTGTTTTCAGTTTTCAACATTCACTTTTATAAGATTTTGAGTTCTAAATTTTCTTCCCCTCCCTCTGCTTCCCCCTTCCCAAGATGGCATGCAATCTGATATAGGCTGTACATATACAATCATATTAAACATATTTCCACATTAGTCATATTGTAAGGAAGAATTAGAACCAAAGGGAAAAACCACAAGAAAGAAGAAACACAGAGAGAGAGAGAGAGAGAGAGAGAGAGAGAGAGAGAGAGAGAGAGAGAGAGAGAGAGAGAATAGTATGCTTTGATCTGCATTCAGACTCCATAGTTCTCTCTGGGTGTGGATAGCATTTTCCATCATGAGTCTTTTGGAATTGTCTTAGATCTTTGTATTGCTCTGGAGAGTTAAGTCTATCAAAGTTGGTCATTGCAATGAGCAACAATGTTGCTGTTATTGTGTACCATATTTTCCTGGTTCTGCTCACTTCACTCAGTATCAATTAATGTAAGTCTACAGATTTTTCTTAAGTCTGCCTGCTCATCATTTCTTGGAACAATAGTATTCCATTACATTCATATACCACAACTTGTTCAGCCATTCCCCAAATGATGGGCATCCCCTCAACTTCTAGTTCTTGGCCACCACAAAAAGAGCTGCTATAACTATTTTGTATATGTGGGTCCTTTCCCCATTTTTATGATCTCTTTGGGATACAGACCAAGAAGTGGTATTGAATTGCTCATTTCTTTCAAGACGCAGCTCAAGCAGTACCTTCTATATGATGCCTTTCCTGAGCCCTCCAACTGCTAATGCCCCCTCTCTCTGAAGATTTTGGATGTTTTATGCATATATGCATTCTTTATACCTATCTATGTATATGTAATCTTTCCCTATAGAATACAAACTCCTTCCAAATAAGGATTGATTGATCTTCATTTTTTATAACCATAGAATCTAGCATAATGCCTTGCACATGGTAGGCAATTTTTAAAAAATATACATTATATTTTATTTTTCAAGTGAAAGTCCACTTTGTCTCCCTCCTATCTCCACCCCATCCCTTATTTGGAAAGCAAGATAAGCAAAACTCCTATTATAAACATGTATAATCTAGCAAAACAAATTTCCAAATTGATTCTATCTCAATCTATACTCTGAATCTCAATAGTGATTTATTGATTGAGTGAAAGCTATGACACTTCATGAAAGTATGTGCATTCTGAAAGGGGACTTCTGGGGACGGGGAGAGGGATGTACAGTATGGGAAACCCTTTAAGACCTAAAGGAATGGAGCTCTAATGGTAGGAGTCCAAGTACTTTTGTCATAAGCTTGTTGATGCCTATATACTTGACTTCTTTTGAATCCCTACCACATCCAGTAAAGCTGTGGACCTGAAGGACAGGAAGTATTCAGTGATATCTGTAGAATGAAGGCATCTTTATTTCCTATAGGCTAACATATGGGCTTCTTAGTCTATCATTTAAAGCCCTCCCAGATTTACTCCAATCCACTTTTCATTACATTATTCCCTTTCATGCACTTTATACTCCATCCCAGCTGAGAGTCACCATTCCTCAATGTTCTCCCACAATCTCTTCCTTCTAGATTAACACAGGTCATCTCTCCCATACCTCAAATGCACTCCCTCATCATTTCTGCCCTTGAAAATTCTTCCTTGAAAACTCAGCTCAGCCATAATCTCTTTCATTAAGCTTCTTCTGTTCCCTACTTTATCTTCTCCCTCAGCTAGAAGTAGTCTCTTCCAAGTAGGATTTTCTCGTAGTGCTTGGTCTGTACCTCAGATATGCCTAGCATACTTTCCTTTGTATCATTCTAAACCTGTGTGCATGACATGATTCCTAGTAGAATCTTTTTTTTTTTTGAGGACAGGGACTGTCATTTTGTTACCTTTGCCTCCCCTCAGAACCTAGGACAATATCCTGCACATACATAGTAAGTACTTTTGATACATGTTAAATTTCTTGAATTAAATTTCTCAGTTCCCAGCAGAGCAGAAAGGAAAAGAATGAGGTGTGGCCCAATCTAGTGAGGGATTTTTCCTATTAAAGAGAAGTGAACTTAATTCTTTCTTGGGCCATGTCCATGATGTACCTAACTCACCAAATCCCCAAACACCCAGTGTGACTTGGAGTTTCTTCTTTGACTTTTTAGACTAAGTGGGAGGCATTGCAGTATAGTAGAAAGAACCATGGCTCAAAGTACCTGGGTTGATATCCTGTCTCTGTCTCTACCTATGTGACTTCTGGAACTTTACTCCTCTGGGTCCAAGTTTCCTCATCTATAAAATGAGGAGGTTAGACTAAACAGCCTCTGAGGTCCTTTTGAGTTTTAGATCAACGATAATAAGAGCTCTTTTTTCTATAGCATTTTTATAGTCTCTATAAAGTACTTTCTTTACAACAGGTATGTGTTAATATCTGCAGCAAGTCATTTAACCTCTCTAAGCCTCAGTTTCCTTCTCTGCAAAATGAGGATAATAAAAACATAGGTTCATAGATCAAGAACTGGGAGGGACCTCAGAGCTCATTGAGTCTGATGTCCTCCCCCAAATTCATAGAGGAAGAAAATGAGACTCAAGGATGGTGTAACTCACCCCTGGTCACACAAGTCACATGTCCCAGGTGGGATTTGAACCCAAATCTTTTTATTCCATAGTCTATGCTCTCTCCATACCATTCTGCTTCCCTTTATCTCCCAAGGCTGTTCAGGGATCAAATGAGTTTATGTACATAAAACACATTGTAAGTGTTTTATAAACATAAGGAACCACCACCACTACCATCATCATCATCATTGTCATCATCACCATCATCATAATCATTATCATCACCATCTTTACCACCACTACCATCATCATCCCTATAATTACAAGTCATCATTCCTGCATCTTTTATTCAATAGAGTTCAGAGATCCTGGGACAAGTTGCTATCCTACAATTCTTTTGTGTTTAATGCATGGTAGACTATTTTATCAAATATATTCTGTTAGATATTATGGATAAAATTATATCTTTTTTGTCACTGAATAAAAGTGTTGGTCATCTGCAGGCTCAATGGAAGCATCTTCAAAAGATCAATTCTAGTAGCAGACAAGATGACAGGGATGATATGTACTTCTTCCTCTTCCCACATGGTTTGGATTTTTATCATTGTTGTGGTGGTGGTTAATGTTATCCCTATTTTGTAGATGATGAAACTTAGTCCCCAAGAGAAATGACTTGCCCACAGTCATTTATCTAGAAAGTGACAGAGCTGAGATTTGAACCCAGTACATTAAAATGAATTGTCTGATTATCTTGTTATCTTGAAACAGCCCTCTCAGGAAGCAAAAGGGAACCTGTGAGTGTCTGAAGCACCCTTATCACCTCTCTCTAAATTCGTAAAAATATTAAGCCCCGGTTCAGGATGACAGAGAAGTGGAGCAATCTTGTCTTCCCAGGGAAGCCAAGGTCTGGGCAACGAATTCTCAAATCAATGGGAGCTGGTGGGGAAGCTAATGGCTCTGAAAACTTCAGCAGCCTTTGAAATTGAACTGGGAGCATTCATAAGTGTTACATCCCAATGACCCGATTGATCGGCAAATTCAGTTTACTTCTGAGTGATCATTGGCAAGAGAGTAGCGGTGCCATCTGATATTTAAGGCCGTCCCCCCAGGTAATAGCCCATGATTGCGAGAACTGGAAGCTGAAAGGGTGAGGGGGGGTAGCAGAAAGATTGTTCGAGATAACCTATTGTTCATAATTGTCAACCAAATTACATCGTTGGTATTGAGCTTAAAAAATGAAGCAAAAGAGGCATTTCTTATTGATCCCTTGCTGTTACAAATAAGAAGTCAGTGCTTCTCAGAACCAAAGGCTGGGCTCTAATTGATTTTGTTCTTCTTTTTTCTTTTGAACAACTTGTAGTGGATTTTAGGTATGATTTTAGCCTGGGACTCATTTGGGCCTGGCTTTCCCTGGAAAACACTCAATATGAGTTGAAGTGAAACTTTTGGGAGACAATATGGCATCATGGAAAGCATCAGAAGACTATGGAGTCAGAGATCCTGAGTTCAAATCTCACATTTGATATTTATTCCCCCTATGACCTTGAGGAACTCACTTACCTTCAATGGGCTTCAGTTTCCTCATCTTCAAGAGATCCTGCTTTAACTCTGTTGTTGTTGTTGTTGTTGTTGTTATTTTTAAAAATATGTATGGTGAAATCTTCTCCCAACTTCTCACCTTATCCTTTTCTCTGAGGCTAAACACAGAACAGGCTTCAGGTCTACAGACCTGAATGAGGCAGAAGCAGGCTCTTTAGTCACTTGGCTATTTCAAATGTAAACTCAAGTGTGCCTAACCCCACATGGAGGGGTACAGATAAATGAATTTCCACCAGAGAAATCCACTCTTCTGACCAAGTGTCTGGTAAATAGATTCATGGAGGAGAGAAGCTGGCCCAGCACAAACCAATGGAAAGGGTTGGAATCTGTTAAGAGTGCGAACTCACCAGCAGCCCAAAAAGCCAGTGCCTTCAGAGTGGAAGTCAGTAGACTGTAAGTGCCATGAAGGCAGGGAAGGTTTCACTTTTATATTTATACTCTTAGTGCTTAGCATAGTGCAATGCTTGGCACATAGTAGGTGCCCAATATGCACTCATGATTGATTGATTGACCAGTGAGTCAGATATTGACAACAATCCTGCTTTCCAAATGATATGACTTTCTCACACAATGTACCAGTCTCCTCAAAATTTCCAATTTATGAGACAATGACTGAGCATTCCATGACATCGAATACCCAGAGGAAAAGTAGAGAAAAAATGCCACTGCTCCAACTATTTCCAAATGTCCCAATTGGTAAAGGTGTGCTCAGGCCCAATTAGCCCAGAGAAATGTGAGAAAGTCACATCTCTTTCTTTCAGTCATTGTAGACCCACAATCCCAGCATGCACCTGTGGAAAGGTTTCTTCTATGGAGAAGCTTCAGTGATGGACAGGAGATGAGCACCAGCCAGGCAGTGTTGACATTAGGTGTTCCTGCACCTACAAGATTCATAGGCAGCACGATGTCTCACTGACTCATGTCTAGTCAGTGTCTGATGTTCGATTTCTTTAGACCCTTTGGACACATTAGGAATTTGCCTACAATAGTCTTTGCTACCCTCTCCAGCAAATATAGCCAACAAGGTGGAAGGAGTTAGCCCTGACAAGCGCCATGCAGACCCTCACAGCAGGTCCAGGCTTGGTCAAGGCACGTTAATTAAATCACCAGCTGAGATGTGGCTGGCTTGGCTGCCCTGGCTATCCATCTTCTCTGCTGCCTAGATCCCTCTGCCCTCCCCCTGCTGGGCTGCCCCAGACAGCAACTGTCTCTTGAACAAGCATCTCTAGAAGAGAATACAGACTGAGAGAGTTTTGGAAGGAGGCTGGAGAAGAGGGACCTTGGAAGATCTTCCACAGATGTCTGGCAGAAGCTGCTAGCTCTGGGTTGGCTAATCCCTCAGGGAGAAGGAGAAGGCCACTATGGGAAAAGTCAGCTATACAGCAGGTGACCAGACCTAGGGGTATTTATCTGATCACTGTTTAATTCCCCGGGCACCTGCTCTGCCTGAGGCCCTGCACAACTTCCTCTCAGACCTAGGCACATAAGACAAATAGCACTAAGCAACCATGTTCCAGGGAACATATACTCATACAGGTAAAACTCATGATGAATCCCCTTGGATCAGGGGACTTAATTTTCTAATTTATATTGCAATTAGTTACATACTATTACATATTTTATAGATTACACAAACATATTAGTTTTATATATTTATATGTGTGTATATTTGCATGTGTTTATATGTATACACATACACACATATACATGTATACCTATATGTATGTGTATATATGTGCATATAGTCATACATACATACATACACGCACATACATATATGTGTGTGTGTGTGTGTATATATATATATATATGCGTATAATTCAGTGAATAGAACACTTGTCTTACAGTCAGGAAGATCTGAGTTCAAATTCTACCCAAGACCCCAGCCATGTGATCCTGAGCAAGTTATTTAACCTCTATCTGCTTCCATTTTCTCATCTGAAAAATGGAAATAATGATAGCATCTATTTCACAGGATTATCATGGGGATCAAATGGGATAATATATGCAAAGTATTTTGCAAACATTGAAGCAGCATATTATTATTACTTTTCTTATTATCCTATCAGATTGTAAGTTTCTTGAGGTCAGGGGCTATGCTGTTTTCCTTCTTTGTATCCCTAGCACTAAACACATGGTAGATGTTTAATAAGTATCTGTTGAGTTGAATTGAATGATCCACCGAGAATTTAGACAGAAGGAAAGAAGCTGTCCAAGGACCACTATGGCAATGTCTCCTGACTCTTTCACAGGTCTCCTTCCACTCCCTTTTAGTACACTGTACTGGTGTTGAATGCCCTAAGCCAGTACAGAAAGCAGCAGGAGGTTGGAGGTGAGGTAAGGGGATGGAAGGGGAAAAGGGAATAAGCGTTTATATAGCTCCTACTATATGTTGAGCACAGTGCTAAGTACATTATAAATATTATCTCATAGGATAATATTTGGCAGCTTGCTATCCCCAAGCCCACTTTCAAAGGACCTGCAGTGAATTACCCACCACCTCCAGAGCCATGGGCTCACCCCCTCCCAAAGCCTTGTTCTATCTCTATTCCTGCTTCAGGGAGCACCAAATTAAGGCATTCAGGACCTGGGGTTTTAAGTTCCCCAAGGGCAGAAACATTGAACCCTTCCTTAGCAGCCCATTGTAGTCTTTATCAGCTAGGCTAGCAGGAAGTTCTCCTTTCTGTTCAACTGAGATCTTTCTTGCTTTCCTTTAAGCCTCGTTCTCCAGGCACAGACTTTCTTTGTATCATAAATCACAGATATCGAGCAGTCAAAGGCTATCTAGTCCAACCTCCCTCATTTTACAGAGAAGGAAACTGAGGCCCAGCAAGGGAAGGGACTTGCCCAAGGCCACAAATGTAGTAAGTTACCACAGGAAGGGATTTAAGGCATTCCAGATTCAGAGCTCTTTCTCCTGTACCACACTGAGTCTTCATTTTACAATGAAAGAACTGACATCTAGAGGGGAGATGACTTGCCCAAGATTACACAGGTAACAAATGGGGGCTAAGATTTGAAAACAGATCCTTAGATTCCAAATCGAGCACTCTATTTTCTGTGTCATGCATTCTCCCCTAAAAGGGAGCAGAGGCAGGGAGGTATAGTAGAATAAATGATTTTCGGAACCTTCCAAAATGAAAGATGAATTCATTGATTCAGTCTTTTTCCTTTCATCCCCCACAAAATGGAAACTCTGGGTTCCTCATGGGAATCTTGGACAGTTCCCTATGCCTCTATTTGCTTCAATTTCTTCTATGGAATAAGAGGATTAAACTAAATATCTAATGACTGCTCTTGTTGAAATGCAGCTCAGTTAAGATAGGAGCAGATCACAGTTACTCCAAGCCCCCTAACAACACACACACAGACCAATGGCAGGGGGTACTAAGAGAGGACCCCCACCTCTGGATACATAGCCTTCTGGAGTGAGAGTTTTGGTGGAAAGAAAGAAAATCTCTGAGCTAGAAGCCTATGCACACAACTCTCTCCCAGTGATCAGGTCAGACATGTTTATGAGAGTAAGAGACAAGTTCTCAAATTTTCCCACAACACCTGCATTATTTTGATGTGTTCCCAAGGGGCTTCCTTTGTCCATGTGGCCATGGTTGCAGTGTGGAGAAGGGATACAGTGCCTAACATCTGAATATGCCCAAGCACATAATAGGTATTCAATCAATATGCACAGAACAATTGAATGGATACTGAATATTTGGAAACACTTGGCCTCATTTTTTTTCACTTCTTATCCAAATGTTTCAGTTCTTATCCAACTGCTCATTGGACATTTCGGAATAGATGTCCTATAGATATCCAAAACTTATTGTATCAAAAATAGAACTCATTATCATCCCCTCCCCAAAACTCACCTCTCTTCCAAACTTCCATATGTCACCATCCTTTTAGCTACTCAAGTTTTCAACTGTCACTCTCAACTCCTTATTCACCTCTCACCTCACATATCCAATTAGTTGACAAATTATGCTACTTTTTTTCCTTCACAAATATACCTTAACGTCTGTTCCCTTCTCGCTATTCACATAACCACAACCTTATTTCAGGTCCTTATCACTTCTTCCAAAAGCTATTGCATGTCTCTTAATTGTTCTGCCTGCCTCAGTGTTCTCCTTACTCTAATCCATCCTCCACAAAGCTGCCAAAGTGATTTTCCTTAAGTGCAGGCCTCATTATTTAACCACCCTCCCCAACTCCATAAATTCCCCATGGCTTCTCTTTGCCACTAAGATAAAATATAAACTCCTTTGTTTAGCTATCAAAGCCCTTTACAACCTGGACTCATTGGACATTACTCTGCTTCCTGCACTCTGCAATCTAGATGAACTGGTCTTTATTTTCCTCCCACGTGGTATGCCACCTTCCATGCCCATGCCCTCATATTGACCGTCTTCCATTCCTAGAATGTATTTCCCCCTCATTAAATCCCAGGTTTCCTAAGACTCAGCTCAAGCACCATCTTCTATGGGAAGCCTTTACTGATCCCCCAACTGCTACTGTCTTTTCTCCCCCAACTACCTCTTACATATATATATATATATATATATACATACTTATGTATACAGAAACAATATAGCACAATGAATAGAGAGATGGACTTGGACCCAAGAAGATCTGAGTTCAAGTATGTCTGACATGCTGGTTGTGTGACCCTAGGCAAGTCATTTGACCTCTCTCAGCCTCAGTTTCTTCATCCATGAAATGGGGGTAATAATAGCACCTATCTTACAGGGTTGTGACAATCAACTGAGATATGTGTAAAGGGCTTTGCAGACTTTAAATGCTATAGAAATACTAGCTATCATCATCATCATTATTCCTTAACCTCTCAGTTCTCTAAGACAACTCTCTAAGACTGTAATTTGTAGAGAAAGTGCCAACCTATATTAGTAGACAGAATTTCCTCATATGGGAATTCCTTTTACCAATGAAATCACAGGTTCGATTATCATCCCATGCTATTTTTCAGTTGTACCTGACTCTTCGTGACCCCATTTTGGGGGTTTTCTTGGCAAAGATAGTGTGGTGGTTTGACATTTCTTCTCCAGCTCATTTGACAGATGAGGAAACTGAGACAAGCAGGGTTAAGTGACTTGCCCAGGGTCACACAACTGTTGAGTCTCTGAGGCTGAATTTGAACTCAGAAAGATGAGTCTTCCTGACTCCAGGCCACACCTGGTGCTGTATCCACTGCGCCACCTAGCTGCCCCTTATCCCTTTACTTACATTTGTGTATGCCATCTCACCTGATAGAATATAAGCTCTTGGAAGGCAGGGACTGGTTGAGCTTTGTCTGTGTATCTCCAGTGCCTACTACCATCTGGCACATAGCAGACACTTAATAAATGCTCATTGACTGAAGGGATGATTGGTGTTTGTTAATTCATTATAGTGATAATGATATTAACAGCTGACATTTCTAAATTATACCTACAAAGACTTTCAATTCAAGTTCTTCATTTGGTCCTCATTAAGCAAGCAGGATGGGACCTATTGCTCCCATTTTATACATGAGGAAGTTGAGGCTCAGGGGAGGGGAGTTCCTAGCCTAAGATCACAAACACAGCTGGTAAATACTGGGGCCGGGACTGATGCCCAAGTCTCTGGATTCCCAGTCCTGCACGCTGCACTATAGTAACTACCAGCAGACAGAATCAGGAATGGGGTGGGGGGAAGAGGAGATGAGGGAGGGAGGAAACAGAAGGATGTAAGGAGGGAGAAGAGAAATGTTTGCCAACTGATTAAAAAATTAAAGGGATTTTTATGCAAAGAAAATATTTCGCTTGGCATTGTCTTCCTGGCCAAACGTTAGCTTCCAAGAGAAAATGCTCCTGTTGGCAGCAAATGTTTCCAAAACGGG